AGAGAGAGAGAGAGAGAGAGAGAGAGAGAGAGAGAGAGAGAGAGATCCTTGTTAGGGAGAGTTGTGAGGGATTCACAAAGGTTGCTCCAAATAAGATTTCCAGCATCTTCTTTAAACTACTTTTTCTAGTTTCTTGGTGGCTCTATGGGAGATCTTCATCAGCATTAGAACTAGGTTCTCTGCCTTCACCAGGTGGGTAAAAAAAGATTTCAAGATTCTCTGCCTACTTTAGGAGGGAATATAAGGATTTCTAAGGTTCTCTACCTACTCTAGAAGGGAGTAAAAAGATTTTCATGTTCTCTGCCTACTTTAAGAGAGAGTAAAAGGTTTCAAGGTACTCTATCTCACCGGGTCGATGGAAAGATTTTGTAAGGGCTTCTCCACCTTACTGTGGATCAAAGGAGAGACTCTACTTTTAGTGTAATACCTAAAAAGAAGGTTTTAAGGGAGTGGACATAGGTTAAGTTGACCGAATCATTATAATTATGGTGTCTTCTTTCAGATTTACTATTTCATAGTTAATTTTCATATTATTCTGTATTTTGTTCTGTATTTGAAATATCTGATTTTTGTTATTGAGAAATTAGTTTTGCTTCCATATAAATTGTTTGTTTTAAAATATTCAAAAAGATTTTAAAAAGATTTTCTTTTCACCTTAAGAAAATTTTTAAATAATTAATTTATCCCCCATCTTGGTTAGCCTCAGGCTAGTTTATAAAGGTTTAACAACCCTCACAAACTTGCAATGTATTTATTATGCCATCTCATATGTGCAGCAGAGTTCATAGACCTATAAACTTTGGAACATGAGAATGATGGGTAAGTAAAATAATTGACTTATTGGTACATCCTTCTATTTTTTTAAATTTGGTTTAAACCTTGGCGCATTATAATGATGACACACAATCTCCGACAAATTATCCCCGTAGTACAATATGCATATATTAATGCATTAATATATTTTTATAGCTATTAAATTAATCTTAGAAGCTAATTTTTTTGTTTGCTATAAATATGTTGGATTTATATTATTTGTCGGGTTAGTCTCCTTAAGTAGGCTAATAATTTGATTAAAGCATTCTTTAGGTACATTATATTTTGTCTTTATACTCAACATTTTCATAACAACAAATAACTATGAGTGAGCAGTGCACCCATTCTAAATTGGTTGTTGCGCAACATATAACAAATTATAGAAGTTTTTATCTTTTTATTCGAGGACTCTTTTGTATATTATTAAAATTGTGACCCAACTACATTATAAACCAAGTCTTTGAACGCCTATTTTTTTCTTCCTCAACTATGTTGGAACTTGTAGACGGGCCACTTTGAGAGTTAAATTGAGGTTCATATTTATTATATGAATTCCAATACTAATATTCTAGTATAAATTGTATGCGATATAGATCAATAGTAATCTTCTCTAGTGTGAGGTAGGCTTAATTTTTGTATTTTGAACATGGACAATGAAACCTTCCATCTGATATAAAAGGAGTAATTGACATCTTGCCTAGATGAAAAAAATCACTTCGCTGACAAATTCATTTGTTAATGCCTTGTGTTAGGCAACAGTCGGTTATACATATAACATCTATGATTTTGAATATTCATAACACACTTGGGCTATAAATTCCTATAACAAAACAGTGAGATTTGTATCCATAACTCAAACTAGGCATGAAAGCTACACTAGACTTAAATTAGATTTGAGAAATAGTCATTTAGTTTCTAATTCTCAACGTGTAATACATTGCGAGATATATAAAGAGAAGCCATTATACTATACTATTACATATCACAATGTCCGTAGCACTAGTTAGAAACTTAAACTAAATTAAACTAAGCTATTCTCTATACAAACTCTTATGCTTTTGTATTAACATTTGCAAAGAAATAAAGATAGAAATTGAATGAATAAGCAAGATGCATCATACCATTGCAAATTCTAACAATTTACTATAAATATTATCATTAAAAAAATAAAAAAATGATATGTAAAATCCTATCAAAAACTAAATTTTTAACACACCAAAAAATTTAACATCTAGAGAACAATGAAACCTCATTGAATCGAAGGGGAAGTCGAAGATTAATGAAGAGTTGGAACCAAAGTAGAAGATTCCCAAAGAGCTAGCGACGTTGTGAAGCAGATAAAAAGTCGAGGTACAACGAACATTCTATTGTGAACAATTGAACCGAGAGGTTGGGCATGAATGATCGAACTGTGAGAGGAAGCAACGAACCTTCTTGATAAAGGCAAAGGCAACGAATGATCAAAGTAAGATGAAGGTGACCAATTTATCGTGCGAAGGCGAAGGCAAAGAGTTTAAGAAATCAACCAGCAGGGGAGGTGAAGTCAAAGAGCAACAAATAGGTCGGGAAGAGGCAGTGAAACCAAAAAAGGAACAAAAGGTGGAGGAGCAAATTTGAAGAATAGATAAATGTATAACGAGCAAATGAAACAGTTGCAAAACCAATCGAGTAGATAAGGTCAGTTTGTGGTGGATTGACGACAGATTTGCGATGACAATTTTCACAGCAAATCAGCCGCAAAATTCATCCAAAAATTTCAACAAAATTTTCATTGCAAATTTATCAACATTTTCAATGAACAATATTCTGCCATAAAATTCACTGTAAACTGATGACTTTCCTATTATGGATACTCATATGCTTTAAGTGGTATATATGATTGATTCATATGACAAATATTAAATTCCAAGTCATCTTCAGGGAGATTACGACTTATGTAGTTATGTAATGACATTGCAACTAAAACTATTTTTGCAAGCTACTTAAAACAATATACAGCCATATCATGCAATATAATTTGCTTCTTCCAAACACTAAATAATCTCTCAATCTCATAATGTAATGAAGAGTGTCGCTTGTTAAATATTTATTGTCTTGCACATACCAATTGACTTCCTCTTTAAAAATTAGAAATAAATACTTTATATCTTAAAATGGCTTAAAAACTCCCGTTGCCTTGAGTATCCAACACCCACAATATAATATTTACCTGTTTGTAAGTGAATGCCATCTAGTTCAAGAGAGATTCAATATTATTAAACTTTATAGTCTTAACAACTTTACCTAGAGGTGATAAGCAAATGCATGTTCATGGTTATTTGTAGTCAATTTGAAGATATTACTCTTATGCTACTCTCCCACCCCTAACATAATCAAAGTAAACACACATATCAAAATCACACACTATCATAAAAATTTATGTAGATAAATCACATCGTCCTACGTATACCACATTTTCAATATTTGAAACACAAATATTAACATGTGTTTCATCAATAGCTTCTATACATTTATAATTGACAAGATTTGATCATATCTTTGATAACTTTGTAAACATCCGATAATCCTATAATTTTATAATTATAAAATATATCTTGAAGTACGATATAATCATACAATAATATATCTCTCGGTGGATAAAATTTTATCATCCTTAAAAAAAAATTATCATAACATAATAATTTAAAATCATGAAGAAACCCTACCATTAAATCCATTAAAAACCAAATAACATTGTTAAAAATATTAAATATTGTACCATTTTTTTATTTTAAGTGATTTATTAATTTTTTAAATTTTATGTTTTATAATTTATTATAATAATTATTTGAAATGAAACCATAACACAAACCAGTATATAAATGAATGTTGGTCTGGCGGTTACCAAACCGCCCTTGGGATACCGGGTTCGTCAAATTCGAGGGCGCCTTGGTCGCGTCTCGGCTATGTCAACCGCGTCCAAGGCTTCCCAGCTGGAGCAAGAGTGGCCACCGCCGCTCTACACTTTTGGAGTGCCGTGGCCCGAGTTCAACGATGGTCTCTCCTACACCGACGTCATCCGGCCGTCTCAAAATGGTCTGCTATTCTTCCCCTTTCATTCATATCTTTTCAATGTCTGTGCGTGCTAACCCTAATTTTTACAGCAACAACGCTAATTGATTTCTACTACTCTAAGTACAGGAGTTCTGCGCCATTGCAAGGGTAAGCCGGTCTCCGTTAAACCCTGGGGTTCTGTTTAGTATGACAAAACAGTAAGTTGGGAATTGAAAATGTTAGGGAAATGGTAAAACTGTTGAATTGAAATTAATTTTCACCCAATTGATTGGTTGAGGAGAAATTTATTGCAAAAGTTTTTTTTTTTTTCATTTTGGTTGATGGATGACCAATAGTTGAAGGGTGGACACAATTTATCCACAAATTATTGAGCCTTTTTGAATAAAAAAGAGAGCACCATTTCAAAATGAAAACCTCTTTAAAATTGAAATATTTATTTTTTAGTTTTTTTTTAATTTAAAAATTATAAAAGGTCTCTAATATTGAATATGATTTATTGGATTTACATAAATATCACTGAATTCTTATTTATTGCATATCTAAAATAGAAACAATTATATTTACTTATATAACAACTTAGTTTCTGAAGGACAACAACGCATATGCATTTCATTTTAGATATGTTAATATTAGTGACATTTTTTATGTAATTTAGAATTTAGAGTGTTGTATAAGTTAATATAAAAATTAAAGGGTTAGACTTGCAAATATATAAGAATTCAATGGTATGTATGTAAATCCTACTATAATTTATAGATCATGCACTCTTTTAATTATTGTAGTCTCTATTAAAGAATTAATATAAATAATTAATTTAACTATCATTTTATTTTCATTCTGTAGTGAAAGATTAAAATTAATTTAATATTTTGATAGTAAAAAAATAACAATGTCTTCCATCATTTAAGTCTTATCTGCTGTGGAAAATTAATTTCAAAGTGGGTATCTTTAATATTTGTTATAATAAATTAATTATTTTTTGCAATTAATTATTTGAACAATTATTCTATTTATTGATTATTAGAAGGCTTAAGTTAATCTCAAAACTAAATTTAAGTAATTTTTGCATAAAAATAATAGATGTTTTAATATTAATTTAATTTCAGATAATTATTTCAACCTATTAAATTAAATATTTATGAAATATCTTATAAATATTAATAATTTTACTTTATTATATTATAAAAATCATACAATAATTCCTTAGTTTTATCATTTTTGATGCAAAAAGGAAATGCAAAATTATTATATTGCATATAATGTTTAAAATAATTAAAGAAAATATTTTTTTTCATGTATTGTGTGAGATTACTTTCTTATCTAATATCATTTACCTTTTTGTATACCCAATGCTGTGGAGATCAAGTTAATCCGTCATGTTGTCACTATAAATCGGATTTAGCAATTTGCCCCTTGCCTATCATTTGAATGAAATTGCTAAAGTTTTTTTAGTTGTCCAATGAAGTATTTTATTAAAGTCACCTAAATCAACTTGCCTTTAAGCTAAAGTTGCTAGAAGAAAGCATCCATTTGCTGGTTAACTCAGACAATTGAAGTTGTTAAGTTGTCCAAAGCTATTCACCCACTCATAAGGAATCCACATAGAGAACTCACTTTTGAAGTAGCTATTTGATCTTTCCAGTGAACTCACCACCTAATTCACTATGTAACTCCCTAGAGGCTCCGTCGAAGGCAATTTTTTCTCAAAATATCTTGTCCTTAGCTTGGAACATATCAGCAGCTACCCAAGCACTTGAACAACTATTATCTGGAAAGGTTTATATATTGTTATAGAAAGCATTATTAAGGCTTGGTATCTAGTTTTATTTGTATTTCTCAATTATAGTCTTTTTTGTAGCACTAAACCTCATTTTTAAACTTATAAATTGGGCTTTAGATGAATAGATGATGAGCCTAATATATTCTGATTGACATAAGTCACTTAAATATGTACTTTTTTATTAACATTTGGTAAAGGCTTATTTTGTATTTTTAGTAAGGTTTGGTATTTTCCACATACATATTTGGATCCATCATCCTTTTAAGTATGTGAGTGTATGATGTTGAGAATAAGAAGTCAAGCCATAGAACATCTTGATCAAAGGGAAGGATCTCCACAAGATGAATTATAGTATTTCATCACTTACGAACAATTGAATTAGATGGATGATTTGATGAAAATGATCCAAGGAATATCATAGCATTTAATAAGTTGCTTTTTTGACCCATCGTCTTTGAGTTGTAACTAGCAATGATTTTGCATATTACTGACAACATTATAATCTTAGCACTTCATTTTCGACTTCCATTGAAGGCAATTCATTTCACTTGGAGAAAGTGTAGCAACATTTCCTCATACTCTCTAACCTAATAAACTCTTTACTCAGCTAATCAGCCTATCATTAATTTTTCAATTAAATCATGAAAGCTTAATATCCACCTAAGTTTTAAATGCTAACTGTTGGAGCTTATTGAGAAAAGATGTACCTGGTTGACAATATTGCTCAATTTTAATCAACAATGTCTTTCCTTACCTTTTGTGATGTTATGAAATATCAACTATTCTTCACAACATTCAAGCGAGCACCATTAAGATGGTGTTGAAGACGTCTTGAAAGTATCACTTGCTTTTGAGAATTTAAGCATTTTTCCATGCAATTTCTTAGCATACAAAGACTATAAAAGAATTCACAAGCTCTCTTAAATATGAGGTAGGAAGTTGGCAAATCCCTTTGACACTTTATTTTTTGATTCCAATGATGTTAAAGATCTTGAGCATGTAGTCACCTACTTGTACTCACTCAAGGCTTTTAAGAAGTTACTTATAGATATGCACTTGGCTAAAGACAAATAAAGAAATCGGCTGAGTTGTAGGAACTTATGAATAGTCATATTAATATTGAAGGGTATAACATCTTGATGGATCGGCAGCTGCCGGTGGGCCCCATTAGGGTGGGTCGCGGGAAAGAAGAGGGGAAAATTATTTAGGAAAGTTTTAATTACAAGTGGGAGGGAATTAATTAAGGAAAAAAATCTAATTAGAATTCAAATATGAGAGAAAATTACTTAAGAAAAGCCCGGGGAGTTAATATTCATTATGTAAGTAGGAATTATTTAGGAAAATTTTAATTACAATTAGGAGGGAATTGATTAGGGAAAGATATTTAATTTCCAAATCTGAGAGAGAATTATTTAGGAAAGGGGGCTGATTTGGGAGGAAATTGGGGGAGTCTATTTAAGGCTAACTATGGACTGATTTTAGATTATGCTTACTTTTGTTGGAATTAGTTTTGTTTAGATTGAGTGGGTTCTAGTCGATGATTAGGGATTTAGGATGTTGGAGAAATTTTGTCATCATCAAAGGATTGAGATATTATATGATCGAGCACGACATAGAAAATATATGTTATCTTAAAGAACACAAATATTATTTTGCTTTGGACTCCGTAACAAAATTCATAATTTCAATTTTAACAGAGATTTTTCTCTATTCAATATTTGCTTAAATAAGATTTATTTTATTGTAGGATACAGATGCCTTATAGGGGCATGCCCCTATGATTAATTACATCTCAAATATTTGTTACTTGAGAACACTCTGGATTAAACTAATACTTTTTTTAGAGTCATTAAAATATTGACTAATGTTTTTATTTTTTTTTAAATTTAAAAAATTATTGTCCAAAGATTTGGTTTTTAGGAATTTCAAAGATGATAAAATTAACTTTAAATCATATTTTAGGAATGAGAGCTGAAGGAAGGAAACTATAGGAATACTTGATTCTAAGGAAACATAAAGGTACTAAAACTATCCTATATTGGGTTTTATATTTTAAAATTAGATTTTTGTTCAAATTTACCAATTTGATTTAGAATGTTGGATTTATATTCTAACAACACACGTTGAAGAAAATTCCTGAAATGTGGGGCTTATGAAGTGATTGGAAATCAACAATAGCTTTGAATTCTTGAGCTAAGGTGACAACTACTGAGGGGCAGTGTCTCAAATCTAAGTCTAACGGAGTGCAAGGAATTTATAAACCTAAATCGCATATGAGGCATAAGTTAGCCCGACCTCTGGATTTACAATCATGATTGAAAATGACTACCAGTTAAATCCACCTAATCACTTTTAAAATCATGTAGCCTGGTCTCAATGCTTATGAATAATAGAAAAGACTATTTTGGTTTATAAAATAGGACTTACAACTTAGTTTTTAGGCCAAAATGTCTGACCATGTGAGTATGCATATGCTGACTCACGAAAATGCAGATTTTTGTTATTAAGTTCTTAGGCGAGGGCTTTCTACATATAACACAATGGCCATGTATGCTCATTTTATTTTTGAAAATTTTGGCTCATTAGAATGAGTTGTGCAATCTTCTTTTTATTAAGAAAATATTATTATCCTATTATTATCTAAAGGATTAAACACTGCCGTTGCCAGGTCCCAAGTTCTGGATGAGAAAAGTGGAGGGTTGCGTTAGGTAGTCGACAGCCAGCGTAAAACTTGTCGAACAATAATGACATGAATCCTTTAAGAAATTGTGTTAATGCTAGGGCTGTTGTTGTTGATTAATTTTAGATTGTTTACATGTTAATTGATAAAAAAATTAGTTTTTATCATAAGAGCCTATCATATAACAAAAGTCCAAGCCACCCACAAGCAAAAGCAAATAAAGAAACCTAGAAAAAGTATGTATTTCTAATGCTTATTCAATAAACAATTAAAACATACTTATATGTATATAATCAAGCAAAATAGGAAAGCAAATAATGTCCAAATTATTACAATCATGGTCGACAGCTGAGTTTACTGCCATTATATAACCCAGTCAAATTATTATTTTTTACATACTCAGTTTATGCAGTTTTTAAGTTTTGGCTTCTACATGAATCTTGGGCTTCACTTATGACAAGTTCATCATTATGATCCACCTCTCCTATAACTGTATCCCATATGCTTAAACATACAACTAAGTCTAACATATTATTTTAAAATATAAAGGACTCAAGTCTGCAAAACAAAAAGAGGGTTAGAAGCAATTTATATGACAACAATAAACATCATAGAATTGCCTGACACTTAAAGTGCCAAGTCCTATATATATTATATTGACCATGTCTCTTTGTGGGGTTAAGCGGTGTCTGCAAGTAAATAATGTTAAATAATCATGACTTATCTTTACCCCATTTTAGATATGATCACTTGTAGAAAAAACAAGTATATCTCTATCATATTCACTTAAAAGCAAATGTCCATAATGCAGACAATCTAATAGGCATCACACCATAATTTCAATCACATCCGTAGAAAAAGAAAAATCATAATCCTAGTATACCCAGGGGTTGTGCACCTAAGTGTGTGCCGGTTTGGTGGGATGTCACACTACAAGTGGTGTCTTATTTTATTGAAGAATAGAAGATGTTTAATCTTAATCAGGGGGTGGTTTCATTTTATGTTGCTTGTACCTTAAAGTTTTTTATTTGATTTTTTAATTGTTTCATATTTAGGAGAGTTATGAAGAACTCATAAAGTATCCATTATTTGTTTTGAGGCAAATATGTTACTTATCGAATCCTAAGCTTCAATAATATAGGCATTCCGCCTTTTAGGGTGAAATAACTAATCATTTTATGAAAGAAACCTAAGTAATTTTTAGGAATTTTCATATTCTCTTAGTGTTTGGATTAGAGAGAGATATCCACTTGATAGGTTAAGGTAGATATGCCTAAAGATTTGACTTAGGACTTTGTGAAGTTCACCTAATAAAGCAAGGTGAATTTTAACAGATAGAGACTCCTAGAGGACATCTAAAGGTTATGTTTGAAACATCATAAGTGGAGAGATCACTTGCTTTGTGAAGTGAAAAGATTACTTAGAGTTTGGATCTAAGGGATTGGAGAATTCTCTTTAGCTTTTGGAGCTAAGGATAGGAGAATTTTCTACAATTTTAGAGGTTGAGGAAATGAGAGATCCATAGCTTTTGAGTTAATGTTGGAAATCTTCTAAGGCTTTTGGATCCTATAGAAGTGAGGGGAGATTTGTAAATTTTGGAGTTACAAGTCAAGAAGCATTCATGGAATTTTGTATTCAATGATGTATGATTATTTGCCTAGTTAGGGTTAGGCAAGCATGAAAGGGTGACATGTAGATTTGAGCTACAAGTCACAATGAATTTTCTTTGAATTTCTAGGTGTTCAAAGAGAGGAATCCATCCTTCCAACTTGGGTTAAAAGAATGAAATGCAAATAGGATTTGAATTCTTAGGCTAGAGGTGGAATTATTTATTGATTTTGATTCAACAAATAAATGATTTGATGCGAATTCCCTACAACTTTGAGGTTGATGGGAGAAAGGGATGGAACTTATAGCTTTTGGGCTAAGATGAGAGAATTTTCAAGGACTTTTGGAATCCATAGGAAATAGAAGTAGCTTGTAGGGGATTACAAGTCAAGAAGCATTTATTGAATTTTGTATTCAATGATGCACGATTATATACTTGATTTGGTTTAGGTAAATGTTAGAGGCAATATGCAACTTAGGGGTTGGAAATTGGAGGAGGTTCTATGAACATTTGGTGTTCAAAGAGAAATGACCATTCACTTAACTTAGGCTAAGTAAATGGAGGAGACTAGGATTATGATCATATGTATAAGAGGCCATTCATTGATTTTGTGTTCCAATGAATAAGATTGAAGAACGTAGAATTTGGTTATAAGTTCAAGAGCTTGCAACATGATGTATTTAGGGTTTTAGAGAAATCCAAAATGCCATATATGCGGAAGATTGGTGATAGCTTGGATGCTAAGATTCATGCAATGAAACATTTTGAAATCTTGAGGAGGCTCCAAATGTCATGCATGAGGGATAAAAACAATTGAAAGAGAGCTCCCTATTTTCTTTTAAGAGTGTTTTGAACTCATTAATATAGGAAGATTGGTTCCTAAAGCTTTGAAAAGGTTTCTAAATCAATTTTTTCATGATTAGAAGATTTGGAGGCTCATGAAAGTTGTAAACTTTTAGGATTTCATCAATTGCTTTGTTTGCTATCACACATAATTATTTTAATTTGCAAATTGAACAAAATAAGCTTAGATAATTTCTCTGTTTGATGGGGTAATTAAATACTCCAAATTAGCTTCACAAGCACTTAGAAGTACGTGAGCATATTTAGGACCTTGCAAATTTAGGAGGTTTGGTAGTCATGAGACCTATGACACATTGCTTTGATTCATGATAAGATAGGAAACATACATCTAAAGCTTTAAGAGGATTTCCAATTAATTTTGACATGATTTGGTTTATTAAAAGCATGAAGATGTTTTCCAATTTTAAAGATTTTACAAAATAGAGCAATTGATCACTTGTTATTTTCTCTACAAGCTTTGCAACATACCCAAAAATGAGTTTGATCAACACTACTTGCTCTAGGATTTGCAAAATGAACTTTTGGGAGTTCATATAATATCCTACAACAAGTTATCAAATGCATTTTGGACATCTAACCAAGCTATAAAGAAATCCACAAGTTTTAGCAAGTGCAAACTCCTAAAATCTATGTCAATTTTGTTATGACACGAATAGGATAAAAGTGAACACACCTTATGGCATTTGAGGACCTACACATGCATTCATTTAGGATTTGAGTGATGTGATCTTTCCATACAAACTAATTTGATTATGTGGTCATTGGAGTTATTCATCACTTTTCTGTGCTTCTCTAAATTTAGAGAGAAATCAAAATTAAATTCAATTAATTTTATCCATTATGAGATTTCAAACACGAACTTGAAGTGTCATGAAAGATCCCACCATTTGCTTCTAAGCTTTCAAAAATTAATTGAATTCATTCTGAATGCTCACCAAACTCAAGTGAAATTACACATGTTAACAAAGCAAATATCTCAAATCTCTAAGTTAATTATGTTATAACTTATGATTTGCTAGGAATGTGATGCATGCTACAAAGTGTGAAAACTCTACACGTTGTTATTCTTGTTGTGATCAAATGACAAAATCTAGCCTAAGGTTTGATCTTAGGTGAAGGATTGGACACAACATGAATGTTTTGCATCCAATATATGGGCATTGGATACAAGTCCAACAACTCGGTGCCTCACCGCCACCCTTTTTGGCTCTCACATGAGAGAAAATCATAAGAAATCGCCTGATTTCCACGATTTGACTAAGAGGGCAACAAACATAGGGTTTATCTTGGGTTTGGAAATTAAATGCAAGGGTATTTTAGGATCTTAAAGCTTGGGGAGCATCAGACGCACACCCATTGGCCGATAGACCTAGGTTTTGCTAAGTTTTGAGGAGTTTTACTTCACCGAGTCAAGTTATGGTGCTAATGGGTATCCACTCTCCTTGCAAAGGCGAGAAACAGAGGAAATGAAGATGAGTTTGCCGTCCAAAAATGCTCCAGACTGCTACTTCAACTGTCTCGAGCTCGCTGGAGAAGGTTTGGAATGAAGAAGAAACCTCTTCTCCTTTTCTGTTATGGAAGAAAGGGCTAAATCACTGAGCTGCAACTTTCGGTTCCAATAGCGTGGCAGAAAACCCCTTCTAGTCGACTTCCTCCCTTCGATTCTTTTTGAATGCGACTGAAATAGTTCCGGCCAACCTCCTTTGATTCAACCTGGTGTACCACATGACCCAGTAGCTGTTAGCTCTCCCTATGCTTCGCTTCTGATTGCACGCAAAGAGCCACCCTTGATCGAATGATGGCTTCCTGCTCGATCGGTCAAGGGACACTCACGAAGCTCCAGGAGCGCTTAGTTCAGCACTGGTCACTCATGGAAGAGGCCAAGTTCCGCCTCTTTCATGTAGATCTGGCTCGGTAGCCTAGGCATGCACGTAGGAGCCTCTGTCGACCCCTCCCTCATGCCTGGCTCTCTCGACTAGAAGGAAAAACATACAAGCGACACCGCATGCGAGAAGAAGAAGGCTCAACTACTATCATAGAAGACATGCTCCCTCCCTCTTGCTTGGATATGCATGCATGGAAGAAGCACCCACGAAAAAAGCTCTCCTGCTCTCCTTTTATTGGACGTACCCTAGCAAGAAAACCGAATGTAGTAGGTTCTTTGTTCCGCTCTATGCGCACGCAAGCAGAAGAAGACTTGAAGAGGAATCCTGCTCTGCTCAATTTCCGAGATTTGGAAGGATCTCCAAGGCTCTATCATCTGTTATGGTATTTGACCAAAATATAGTGCACAGAGAACGAAATTCAAGAGAATCGGAACCTTTGATTTCAAATTTATGATTTAGAAAACCAATTGAGTTCAAATTGAACCAATTGGGTTGAAATTGAGCCCAAATGGGACTCAATTTGAATCGATTTGGGTCGATTGAGTCAGATTTGGCTCGATCGAGTCAATTTAATGAAATTGAAATTGAATCGGCGTCGATTTGATTTGATTTATTACTTATTATTTTGGGTCTAATATCATCCACAAATATATTTGAATTCAACATTTTCAATTTTACTTCAGCTTTTCCACTATATTAAATAGAATATCATAATGACAATAATGCATATGCTCTATTTCCTCAGTAAAATCAAATTATCATGAATTACACTAAAAACAGTCAGAGATCTTATTATGCGGCAAATTTTGTTTGTTTCCCCTTAATTTCTACAAACCAAACACAACTTTTTTCAGTGTGCCCAGTTAACTGTTCATTTGCTTTTGGAGCAGCTGGCTTCAGAGAATCAGAAATGGACAAGTGAGTTATCTTTTTTTATTTTATTTTTTCTGACGGACTCTCTGGCAACCCTGAACTGTTTTATTCCGTGCAGATCACCATCAACGGCATAGTGGTAGCCGATCCCCAAGCAGCACTAAGGTTCTCTAAGATGACTTCCGTTTCTTGTGATAATTCTTGAGACGGTCAATGGAATAGCGATGCATATATTTCTCGTATCTTTAATATGTATAATGCACAGTCCAATCTCTACACTAAAGAGCTACATCCATGCAATTTACAATCTTACCTAATATGATGCTGGAAAAGATATTGCTGTTGTGGCATATATGATAATGGTATGATTTTCAATATGCATGGCACTGTGGATTATTGTTATCAGACTGCGGGATGGCACTGAAGCTATCTCAGCCTGCTAATTGTGTGCGGGATTGTTATGCACTCCTGGAGAAGATAATGCATGCAAGACATGCATTCCCTCTCTCTGCCTCCTGCTCACACCCACTATTTTCAAATTTATGATGCCTTTTTGTATTCAAAAACACTTAGATATATTACTTTTTTATAGCTCAGTTAAATATGTCTAAGATTTCATTCTTAATTCTGTTCTTAGTAGTTGGTTCCAATGGTCATTATTTTATCTTGAATCTCTGTTCAGTCCAGGCTCAAAAATTATATATCATCGGATACCATGGAAGGAAGCACGTGCTCCCTTCATGCTACAAGTTCTTTATGAGGATGATGACATGGTAAGCATTCTAGTAAGTGGCTCTTATTTTTTAATTGTTACTTTATTTGTAACTTCCATAAATCTAACTTGAAGCTACGTTTTACTGTAATCATATCTTAGGTTTTGCTTCTATGACATCCCACAGGCATACTTTTACTATGCTAATTCTATTTGTACTTCAATTATTTAGGGGAAGAACATAATATAGAGACAGGTGGAAAGGGAAAAAATGAGCAAAGATGTTTAGCTAACTTTGGGGACAGTTTTATTAAATTGAACACCTAAAAAATCTAAAGCAAAAATTCATCCACTCTCAACAATGGTTTGTTGAGGGAGATAAATTTGAGTGTAACTTTAGCTAACAAAGAACGAATGTCATGTTGGGTGTATCGCCAATATTCACTCTTAAAAGATCTCTTGCTAGTAACGACGTGGCACGTGTCCTCTAATCGGTGATTTAATCGCTAAAGGGCATAACATGTAAACGATTATGATCAGGTGGTTTTGCCGTCAATTTGTACCTCTAAATTTTTGTCACGGCCAAAGCCCGTATGTTCATCAATGACTCTAATCCTTGAGTAATGAATTATAGGATATACTTGATAGGGCACAAAGCCCATTGTTAGCTAAGATGGACTTAAATATGTCCCATTTGTCAAACATTCACCTCAAGTCTACAAGGTGCCCTTAGACGGCACATGTCATGGCTACTGACAAGGATCCTTCTATTAGGTTGGGTTGACTACCTATTCAGACTAAGTAGAGTATGGAACATGACAACTTGGGATGACGGAACCATAGGATCTTGATCGGGCCCATTATCATTCTCCCATTATCTACTTCAAGTATACGGTGATAAATTTCAAATCATAAAAGCCCCCAAATCCAATTTTAATATTATAAAGCTACTACTACTATACACTGGATACTTAGTGGCTATCTAACGGCTAACCTTAATCGATATTGCTCCCACGTTATCAGGAGGGGTAATTAATCATAGGGGTTTGCGCCTATGAGAACCCAGACCTCAGATCATAAAGTCCTCACATAATGAGGACGAAATCTTTATAGTGTTTAATCTAAAATCTAATTTGCCTTTTGAAAATTTATCCCGAAACTTAAACTCGTTAAAACTCTCATCGTTGATAGAAAAATGAATAGAGAGGCCGGGGTGCGAATTTTCAGAGCCCACATTGTCAGAGCTCATACATTGAGGGTAATTATAGAATATTTGAAGGGGAAGGGATAGAGACATTGGGCATGAGAAATTATTTAATAAAAAAACATATACAATTTTGCGAAGGAAGAAATTTTGTAAAGAAAGAAACAGATGACAATAATTTTGAAGAAATAGTTATGACTTTAGACTATGTGCACTTGACACGTGTATTTTTACTAACTTATTTAAAAGCATAAGGTGTTATAGTATAGGGATTTGAGCTTCTCCTTTATGAGATTCTTTCTTATTTCGTATGAGAATAATCAAGCAGGACTGTTAATTTTTTTTTTTTTTGGATAATGCTTCCATGTTAAAGTTTGTTTTCTGCAATATATGTTTACGATGCTGTGCGTGTTTGTGCGACTTTTAGTATATTCAGTATGTTCCTGCTTAACATGGACCTTAAGTATCTATTTTAGTTTTATCAGATGGTGGATTGTATCATGAATTTAATGGTTAATATTCGTTTGAATATAAATGTTAATATTTATATCAATTTTTCCTTCAGTTGATGAATTATGCATCCGTTGGAAGCTGTAACTCAAATAATGAATGACTAGATTCCTGTTAATTTAAATGATTATTCTTGTCCTTTCTGAATAGCAATTGGAATCTTGAAGTTGGTTTCATATGATGTTTTACTTATTTTTTCAGGTTGCCATAAATAAACCATCAGGCTTGCAAGTTCTGCCTGGAGGGCTTTTCCAGCAGCGTACCGTCTTAACACAGCTGCAATGGAAGGCATCAAAACAAGGTTCAATTTGTTCAACAGGCCACGATGTCCAACAGCCACATCCTGTACCTGTTCATCGTTTGGGAAGAGGAACATCAGGTATAGTCTACTGTGAGTTATCTAATCTCTTTTATGATGTTTTTCTTTTCCTACAGTTTGAGGTTTCTGCGATTCTGCATCCTGGTGACTTTTGGTTCATACTGTTTCACAATCTTTAATAAGTAATCTTATTTTCCTTAAACTTTCCTTGTTTGTGAGCTCTATCAAGCCGATTGTCCTCTTTTATGGCATACATATGGTGTTTGTTGTATATTTTTCGATATTCTCACTGTTTCTATTTTTTGAAAGCCTCCATGAACTAGTCTTTTGTTCACTTTCTTCCAAATCTTGAACAATAAGACTTTTCTGCTTCGTCTTTTCTATGTATTTGGCTAAATTTCCATCACAATCAGATGCCGCTTCTATCATAACTATCTTATAAGAATTCTGATCTGCTAGGTTAAATTTTCGAAGTGTAATGCATTATTTGACAAAATATATACGATATCATTTCATATCATTCATTTTGATATGTTGTACATAGATGTGCTAAAAGAAACCTGAATATCTGTGTTACTCACAGGTTAGATGGAATGTAATTAATTTTTTTTTATAGTTTACTTGATATTTACGGTCAGAATTTTTTTTAAGCCAGTTGCAATATTTCGTGCAGCCTTAACATTTTTTTACGTATTTTGGCCTCTTATAGCTTGAAAAGATTTTGCTTCTTTACCCAAATAAATTCTTTTTTCTTTTGCTATCTATTTTTACTAACCTAAATGGACAACTTGCTTATCTAAGTTAGGTATATTACTTTGCGCCAAAACAAAGCTTGCAAAAACTACTCTTGCAACATACTTTGCTGAGGGCACGTCATTTGTTGGAGAGAATAGGTAAATTAGTTGTTCTGTTCAACTTGTTCACTGTTTCACTAATCATAGCCATTAGTGTTGATTTTATTTGTTTTACTTTATTTTATCCAGAATTATCATCTTTACACTGAACATTATAGTTTAACATGCATTTGGAAATATTGAAATTGTCAACTAGCTTGCAGGAATTATCAGCGTTGATCTAAACCTTAATGTGAGTGTATTTATTATTGATTCAGATAGCAACACTTTTCTCTCTGCCATTAACATGGTTATTATGGCATAATGTCATTTTTTAACTTCTTTGCTCTTAGTGTCAAAATGCTCAAGTTGTTTACCCTTATAAAATGCAAGTGATAGGGTAACTTAATTTTTTATAGTTCAAATTAAGATGCTTTTCTGGGTAGTTTAAAATTTTCATCCTATTCCATATGTTATATCACTTATGTGAATATTTTGTTTTTGGAGCACAACCTACAACTTTTTAATAGATAATAAACAGGAAATTCATAATTAATTGAGACTACCTTAATCATAAGTAATTTAATTTCTTGCTCGCAAGAAAGTTGGGTAACGATATTTATATCCAATCCAAAAATTTGAATAAGAAGGCACTATAAATGGCTATATGCTAGTAATGAAGGTTCTATGAAAACCTTCTTATGAAGCCATTATATGAATGAGCAATGGATGTTAAATAATGGTACTCATGTTTTCTAGATTCAAAATTTGGGGAACCATTCAATTTTAAATTATTTTAGTAAAAGTGAGTAGCAGTTGGAATTAGTTAAATCTGCTGTAAGATAAGGTAACAATTATAAGTACATTCTTGGAAAGCCAATATTTTTGTAGCTGCACCTTCTTAACTAGTAAAAATTATTTCCTGAAGGGATTTTAGTAATATAAGGTGATGTAATTATGTACTTTACTGTTTACTTATTGGTATGGCAAGATTAATATATTTGACAAAATATTCTTCAATAAATTTAAAGTGTTTATCATAAAACTTGCAATATTTTGCTATTTTATAGTGTGAATTAAGGTAATGCTCTCAGGCTGATTGCCCTTCTAATTTCCCCTAATTGTTACTCTATCACTTTACTTTGCACCTGATTTTCCCCACTCTACTCTGTTAGTTGAAGCTTTCAGTTATCATTACCTCTACCTTTTTCCCATAGAAATTACAATGTCTTTGTGATTTTTCTTTTCTTTTCTTATCATGGATATTTGAATCATCATTGTCACGACCCGGCCCGGATACTCGAATTAATGAGGCGGGAACAAAAAGTTGGACTGGTGTAACATTTCGATAAATTTCATAAACAATTTAACATTCATCTTCTCAATAAAATTGAAGAGCCACAATCACAAAATTTTCATTAAACTACTGATACCATTTTTCAACATAAATATTTACATCAATCATATATTACATGTTTTCATTTGTGCGTTGTCTTCTATAGACGTACTCCTCCCTTTCAGCCGTTTCTATTTCTATGGAGACTTACCTGAAAATGTTAGTTTAATGAGGTGAGTTTACATGGTAAACTCATTGGATAATCTTTCTATATATAACATTTGAACATATATAAAATACAATGCATATTCTTTTTCTCATTTCTTATACAATATTAAAACTTATATGACATTTGATATATGTATATACAGCGGCAGAGCCATAAATTTTATTCAGGGGGCATAAATTAAAATAGTTATATTTGTCATCTCATTTTGGAAGGTTAGATTACATTAAAATAGTTCCATTTGCCATCTCATTCCCGGAGCCAAGAGGAGCTGTAATATCAAAATTAAGAATGCAAATAGCATGACCCTTAGAGCTTAGAAGACATAAACATCTACCATGGGACGGTCTTTGTTTGGGGGTGAGAGAGGAGCGAAAGGGAAAACGAAAGCTGTGCTCGAGGTCGTGAGTTGTGAGTTGCGAGAGAGGAAGAAAGGGGAAAACGAACCATTGATGCTTTTCATGTGTCCAGAAAAAGATGTTGGTGGCTTATCTGGATTAATAAATAACTTTAAAAGGAAGAATTATAAAAATTAGAGTAGGTTTTCTCGTTGGCGAACATGTTACTCTGTTAAGCCACTAAAACAACCAGCTTTTCATCATTTCGTCCACAATGGAAAGTCGTTCCTCCCTCTCTCTTTCAATATTTTACCCCATTAGTCTCTCTCTCTGCACTTGAAGCATTGCATGGTCTGGGTAGAAGGTGGATTGAAGACTTGAAATAGAAAAAGCCTGTAATAAATAAAATGAAAGCTCACAAGGGGTTGTACCATGTAGAAAGCTGTTTTTTTAAGGGGGGCATGTGCCCCCCTCCCTTTGCCCATGTGTATATGCATATAATATTTACTATAAGTATTTAGCATACATAAATTTTCATATCATTTTCCATTTCATTCATTCATTCATTTATACCTTTCATATACATTTCATAACAAAATATTTATTTATGTTCCAATTCAATTAGTACAGAAGTACCCTCTAAATGTAGCTATAAAGGTACGATCATTTTCATTTCCTTTTTCATTTTCATTTAACGTGCACGGGTACGTTACTTCCCCAGCCAGTACCATACGGGGGTGAAATATATATATATATATATATATATATATATATCGCATTTTCATGTACATTCATATTAACACGATGAACATCCTTACTGTTATAATAGTTTAATGCCAATTATTCATTATTCACATGTAAATTTAAATGAACATTATTTTTTATTTATTGACATTCAATATAAATAAACAATTAAATTAGATAGATATTTATTTTAGAATTGAAATAAATATGAAATAATGAAAATTCTATACACAACTATAACTATCCACATTGAATATTTTGAATGATCAGATTCCTTTCAAACCTCAAGCTTTGCTATAGATTTTTCAAAACTCGTTTCAACTCAATTATGAAAATCTTCCAATGTTGAAATAACATGAATGAGATCCTAATGAATATAAAATTTCAACTTGGAGTACTCAATTATATCTTCAAAGGAATATCAAGTATTTCTACTCTCCTTATGAAATTATTTCAAACATTTCTAAAGGAAACTTTTACCTAATTGAACATTATTAATCATAATAATAAATAGCTCTAGTTCACCCAAAATTTCTACTATATTGAAATAATTATCTCATCAAGATTTCCCTTCTTTACAAATCTCCTTCTTCCACTGTCGGATTTAAACTTGCTGTAATTCAATTCTTCCTACAACAATTTCTCTTCAATTAAGAGACCTGTATTGTAAAATTTCTTCCTCTCAGTTTGAACATAATACTTACACTTTCTTGTGAAGTGATTTTCCAAAATCCAAATACTTCCTCTTTCTCCAGCAGCTTTTCTTCCTTTCTAAAATCATATACTATTATTACCAAAAAAATAAATTTTATAATTTCTATTCTTCAAAATTCGAACAAGAAATAAAGATGATTGAAATCACTTACAAAAAAAATTTCCAACACAAAATCCTTCATCTTCTCTTTCAAGTTCTCTTCCTTTATCTTTGAATGAGATATGAATCATTTCTTAAGATTAAACCGCGAAGAAATTACACACATAGTGAATGAAATTAAAAAATAGCATACCTTCCTTATCCTTTTTCTTCCTCTCAGTCGTTTCTCTTGACTTCGCTTATTTTGCGGTAATGAATTGTTATAACTCAAAATTTTGAAAACTATATTTTTACCTATAATAATCAATAATTTATTCAAGAGTCATTATAAGCCCAAATCTTCGACCAGATCTTGAGTTTAGTCTTGCCACAATATGACAATGTATGACCTGTGCAATTTCGGGTCATATCAAGTCGGGTTGTGACATGAATGATGAGGAGGAAGTTATACTTACATAGGAGTCGTTTACTTTCATCCCTGTACACGTTCCTTCAATCAGAACCGTGAACTGAGCCCAATCAAAGCCACTGAGCGTGCATGCAGTCCGCCCAGCTTCCGCTCTGATGGGGACATCAGATCATCCTGGAGAGTTTATCAGAGACGCGGCCGCAGATCTACGGCCACGATCGAGTCTTTATATTTTTGAGTCGTTGATGTATTTTTATTTTCATGTAGCTTGTCATTTGCTTATGTGGCATTGTGAGCCGTTGTATTTTTTATTTTATTTTATTTATTTGCTTATGTGTTTTCTTTTCCGTAGTACCCCTCTTATGTGTTTTCTACACGGATATCATCAGGGTGACATTGTAGTCATTTGAAAATATTTGTATTTAAAAGGGTAGCCCCATTCGATTGATATTAACTTCCAACACGTCCATCATCGAGGAGTTCAATAATTAGTTATTTGAAAACATTTGTATTTTATAGAAATTTTGAGGCATTTGAAAGGATAGATTCCCCTTCAGTTGAGATTAACTTTTAGCACGGCCATCTTCGGGGCATTAAATAATTAGTTATTTGAAATCTTGTCAACTTTGTTTGCCTGCTAATAGAGGATTAGGTTTAACAATTGGTGATTATGTGAACACTAAAACTTAGAGTTTATGTTTTATAATGAGTTTCATTTAGAGAGCCTTTGTGGACTTTAAAACTAAATATCCAGATAGATTTGTGATTAGGCGTTCATTTGTTAATCCAAGTCATATGGACTCAAGTCATTTCAAGGAGGATGAAAATTGAATATTTGACCCACAGAGCATTCTTGGATCTCAGGTTTAGGAGCTTAATACAGCAGTGGGAGTGCACGTGGGTGTTTAGTTTGAAAATAGAATTTTCTATTAGTGAACATTAAACTCCCGCGCGGCATTCGCAGATATTGGCGTTGCAAATTTAGCATGTTTGTCAGAGCACATGCAGGGAATAAAAATATTCTTTTAAATTAATTTGTGTGTTTTTCAATACTATAACATGCTTCTTGACGTAATAGCACTCTTCTCAGGGCTGTCGCATTCTTCCCGAGGCTGCTGCACGCTTCTGGAGGCAACATGCATATGTTTAAGAATTTATGTTTTAATACATGAGGGGAATTTTAAAAATATTTA